GGCACATTTTTACATTTTAAAAAAAAATTTTTTATTAGATTTATTAATAGATATGCATTCAAAGAAAAAAATTATTATAAAGCACAAGAACAAATTACATAATAAAAAAATCAGTGAAATGCTAAAAACCAAAAAAGTTAAGCTAATCTAAAAATAGAAAAAATTAATTTCTAGATTGACAAGAAGCTAATAGAATATTCTAGAAATTTAGATCTTCAACTTTAATTACTATTTTCTCAGCATCGTTTTTTTAGTTTTTAATAGTAGATTTTTTAAGCTAAAACTAGATTTTCTTTGTCATTTCATAATTTCTTTTGAGGTCTCTAGTGATTTTTGATTATTTTAAACTCTTGATTCTTTCAAGTTTTGGTGTTTGACTTGAACTGGTATAAGGATAAGTACTAGTTCAAGTTTTTATTTCTTGTTTTTTGTTTCTTTTCTCTATTTTTTTCACTTTTAGGTTTGTTCTTTGGATCATAAAATGGCATGTTTTGGAACATGTAATAGTGTCAGTGGTTCTTTGTAAACTCTTTAATTCTCCTGAAGAATCAAAAGAATCTACAAAGAACCACTGATGATTCTTGGACTTTTGATTCTCCTGGTGTTGGGCTCTCAATTCTTCTGGTACTTCTGGACTCTTTTGATTCTCCCAGTTTTGAAAGATAAGTACAGTCCAAGTTTCTATTTCTTTTTTGCTTCTTTTCTATTACTAATATTTTTTTTCTCTTTTAGGCTTGCTCTTTACTTCGGGACGTAAAATGGCATGCGATTTAGATTATGTAATGGCACTGGTGGTTCTTTATGGACTCTTTTAATTCTCCTAGAGAATCAAAAGAGCCCACAAAGAACCACCAGAGCTCTTTCGATTCTTCCAGTAGTAGACTCTTTCGATTATCCTAGTGGTGGACTTTTACAGTTCTGGACTCTTTTGATCCTCCCAGATTTTGGTGATTACTTGAACTAGTATAAAGGGATTAGAAGAGATAAGTTTAAAAGAAGGTAAGACAAGTTCGTTTAGCATTTCTTGAATTGTTGTGAATTATTTGGATTGGTGGCCATAAGGTATTTTGAGTATGTTGTAGTAAAATTCTTTCCAAGATAGGGTTGTAGTATTGTTATAATTAGTAAATTGTTTAATTGCTAAAATCTGGTATTGATTTAAATAGTGTTTAATATAGGTGTGATTTTTTCGATTGTGAAGTGCAAGATTTATAGAGTGTCCAGGTGCAAGAAGTAGGATTGGGCTGATATTGGCATTTGTATATTGAATATTGAGTTGGTAGATGTTAGTAATTAGGCAGGCAGTGAATATTTTGTATTCTTTATAGGTGAAAGTTGGCCAGTCAGTGAGTATGGATGTGTTAGTAAAGGCATTATTTTGAAGTTGTTGGAGGCATAGCTTAAAGATTGGTGAAGATATAAGTGAGTTAAGAAGGTTTTCAAAGATTGATGTATGATGTGATTGTTGTAACTAATAGGTATTGATTAATATATAAGTATGTAGATAGAATAAAAGGGAGTTAGAAGTATAATAAGCTAGTGAGGCTTTTTGTTTAACTATTAAGGAGTAGTAGCTTGTTATAAAGTAGCAGTTTGACAAAATAAGGTAAGTGTTAAAGAGTTGGTATTATAAGTGGGCTAGTAGGAATGAGTTGATGATATAGATAGCTTGTTTTTTAGTAATTTTGAAAAATCTTAATTTATTTAGTTTTGTGTGAAAGCTTGTTTGAGTTTTTTGATTATATATTGGTTGTTGATTAAGTGGTCTATATAGGTTTCTAGGAATCTAAAAGTGTGTTTGGCTGAGAGATTGTATATAGGTTGATCTTGAAAAAGTATAGGGTTTGCATCATTAGAGTTGTTGTGAAATAGTATTGACTTGTGTAGATTGACTGTGATTTTGGCCATGTTGTAGAAAGAAGATGCAATCTCAAGAATTTGTTCAAGTGATGTACAGTTAGAAGCTACCTATATAGTATTATCCATGTAGGTGACTATATTTGTAGTTAAGATAAGTGCTTGATTAGAGTTGAGCAAATTAACTGATATAGTATAGCCAAGTATTGAGTTCGAGATACGATGAATTAAAGAGTTGTAGTATATTCACCAAAGTATAGATGATATTGTTTCACCTTGATCTATTCTATCTTAGATATTCTAGAATTGTGTTTTGCCAAGGGTTGTGATAACTTGATTTTGCTATGAGCTGAAAATATTTGTTATTAGATTGATAAATTGCAGTAGTATACTAAGTCTGCAGAGAGCCTTTTGAAGTAGTGGTAGATGTATAGTGTCATATGCTTTAGACATGTCTTGTGACAATATTCAAAGTTTTTTCTTGTTTATATATGCATTTTTACAGAGATATGTAATAAGTTTAATAAGTTGTAGTGTTGATATTAGTAAGAGTACTACATTGTTTGCTAAATTAAAAAGATCATTTTGTAGAAGAATCCAATTGAGCTATATAGTGAGTATTTTCGTAAAGAGCTTTCAAATATGTTTGATGAGTGTGATAGAGCAAGTTTTTGAAAGATTTCTAGAGTAGTAGTCTTTTTTCGGTATAGGCCAAATAAGGACTTTATGCCAAGCAGAGGAGATGATTTGTAGTAATATTTAAGCATTGAAGATTTTTGTAAGTTGAGAAATTGCAGTAAAAAGAAGTTTTTTTAATATCTTATTGAAGATTGCAAAAAGGCCAGTGGCTTTATTGTTTGGTGTTGCAGCAATAGTGTTCTGGACTTTGTCTGTTTCGATATGTGTGAGAAGTATTAAGTATATATCTTTAGTGACTTTGGGGGTTGGTTTGTAGTACTGTTTCTATTTGTGTTATAGTGTATCATCATAGGGATTTGATTTGGTCCAGTTATAGAAGTGTTAAATAGTTGCATTTTTGATTTCTTGAGGGTGGTCAGAATCGAGAATAGTGTTAGAATATTGTAGAAGGTTATGGGGTCTGATTTCTGTATAGAATATTATTGATCATCTTGGATATATTCTCTTAAAAGTTAATGTATCATCTGCTGATAAAGATTTGGATTTGTTCCTTTTTTTGATTGTTGTTTTCAGTGTTTCTTGTACTGTAGAAGGTTTTCTGTAGTTGTATAAGTTGGCCTTTTATATGGAGAAATATGTGGGTTGACAAATCTTAAGCTAATATAGTTTGGCTAGTGATTTTAGTCAGTGCATTTATTTTGTTAAGGAGTTCATTCACTATAGCTATCAGATGCTACAAATAAAAGAGAATAGGCTGAGAAAGTATAAGCAAGATGTAGTTAATATGTTTTAATACATAATGTAATGAGCTGGCTTTAAGTAAATGTATATAGAAGATGCATGGGCTAGTGAAGGTGTATAAAATAAACTTGTCTGCAGCCTGTTTGACTATATTATTGAATTTGTTGAAAGTTTTGTTTAGTTGTTAGATATCTGTAATCTGCTCTTGTTGATAGTTGATAGCTTTTAAGTAAGTAGTTATATAGGCAAAAAAATTATTCTACAGTTCCTGGGTCATATAGTCATAGTTATAGATTTTATATTATTGCTTTTTTTGTTGTAGTTGTTTGTGAATTGGGGTAGTCTGCCAAAAGGTTATAATTATTTGATAGTCACCATTGGTGATAGTGAGTAAATCGGTCAGTTGAAGAGTATAAAAGGCAAGTGTGATTTCAGGATTGGTCCATATATCATCAATTTGGCTTTGCAAGTCATCTCTACTCCAAGTAGGGTTAGTAATATAGTATAATTGTAGCAGGCTTACTAGTCCTGTGTTAACAAGATAATAGAGAAAAAGATTATACTTGCAGTAGTTGTTCTGGCAAGTATTACAGTTAAAGTCTCCTGCAATAATCAGGTTCATGTTGTGTGAGTAAGCATCCTGGGTTCAGGAGATCAATTGTTGTTGAGCAGTATAAATTTGTAATATAATTAATGAGAGGAGATATATTGTGATTAGATATGTTTTGTTATTAGATAGTAGATAAAGATCTATAAAGAGAGCTATGCTAGGAAGTAAGTGTATTTTGTATATATAGGGTTGTAGATTGAGTTTAAGTACAATTGCGACTCCTTTACTAGACTCTTGAATGTTTGCATTGGCTTGGTCATAGTTTGCTATGTAAATCTTGTAGAGAGGGTTTGAAAGTAATATAGAGTTGTAGTAGATATAGCAAGTTTTGTTTCAATGAGGAAGACTATATCGATTTTATTAGAATTACAGTATTCGAGAAAGAGTTGTAGTTTGAGTGCTTGGTTAAGGCCTTGTATGTTATAGTTTAAAATATTGAGTGTAGTAGTAGAGGTGTTTGTATTTGTAGATGGGCTATATTTGGTTTATTGGTTGAGTACCGTGTAATAGAGAATGATTAAAAGTAGTAGTGGTGTTTGTTAATCTGGCTGTGGGTAATAGAGAATTATTAGTAAGAGAGTTGTTATTGTTTATTAAGTATTTGGTTAGTAGTAGATTTGGTGGGTTGTATGTTAGTTGTGTTGAGAAAGGTCTTAGTAATTTTATCATATACTTTGTAGAGGTTAGTAGGTTCGTAATTATTGAAGATAGGCCATTTAGAAATAGGTAGATCCGGGAGTTGAAGTAAATATTTGGAGATTGTATTTAAGATAAAGTGTGATTTAATTTTTTCAAGTGTTTGGTCACTATTGTTCTATCTTGTATTGGAACTAATAGAATCAAGGTAGAGTTAATATATGATAGTTGTGATTTTAATTCTTTCAAGTTTTGTAAAATGGTGGGTTTATTATTGTCTCAGGTTTTTTTTTGGATGTTGATCTAGCTTGGTGGGATTTGTGCAAAGAAATAGTATTTCTGAAGTTCTCTAGCTATATCAACAAGAATTTTAAATAAGGTGATTGGTATTGTCAAGTTTATTTGGCTGATCTGAGAGTGGTTGACTAGTAGTTCTAGTTTGTTAGTAGGTTGACTATCATATACTCTGGCAGTAAAGGTAGTGCAAACTTGTAATATTAATCAATTTCAGAAAGGAATTGTTTTGTGAGTATTTTATCTTGAATAAAGAAGGTGTAGTTACTTTGGGTTTTTGCTATTTTGGGGTTGGCTAGAAGTCTTGGTTTCTGAATCATATAGTTGTTAAGTAGGCATTTAAATCTATAATGAGAGCAAAGAAGATCTTAATATTTTCTACATTTTTAGGGTTACAAGGAAAGAAGCTTTTCAAGTTATAGGATAGCTGTGAAGTTAGAGGAAGTACAGGTTTAAGTGCAAGTAAGTTGAAATATCTAGATGATATTTTCTCTTCTAGCTTATATAGGCTTGCGAGTTTGCAATAAGATGAGATAGTGCTGCTCGATCAGTAATTGGAAATAGGTTCTTAACTAGAGGATGTAGTTCTGAGAAGTTTTTAGAAAGTTGTATAAGCTATTCTTTAAAAAAGAACTCTGGCAGGATTTTGAACTTGTATATTTTCTGGAGTGCTGCTACTATGGCTTTAGTGTGGTTGTGGTTTTGTATTGACAATTTAAATAGTAGTATTTCAATTATATTATTCTGTATCTTCTCAATCGATAGTGAAAGAGGTTAAAGTCTTTTAGCCAAGATGTCTAGAATAATGTGTCTAGTATTTTCGAAGCTAGTGGAGAGATAGATATAAGTGAAGTTTGTATAGTAAAAGACTTTTCATATAATGTTATGAGTGTTAGTTTTAATAAAATCAGTATTTGTAATATAGTTAATAATAATTTTCTTTTTGAGCCTTTGCATAATCTGGTTTCTATTGCTTTTGTTTATAAAGCCAATTTTATAGTATCTCTTGTATTTTTTCAAGACTATATTAAATAGTGCTTCAAACTCTTGTTGGTGTTGTAGTATTGTTTGCTTGTCTTGAGTAAAGGATTTAAAGAAGGCAGTGTCATAGTAGTTAAATTTGGAGTTAATTGTTAAGGGTAGATTATAAGAGGTAGATTGTAAATTGGC